AAGTTGGATGATGTTGCATAAGTCAGTGTAATTGTGTCCCACGGTCGAAAAAATTTCTCTGGGGATGCCCATCTGGAGAAGATGGAAAAAAGGGGCTTCGCCCCCTCTGTATAGTTTTTGGGCTTTAAGGGAAGGCTTCAGGGAAAAATCGAAGCAAAACAATGTTAATATTTTATCTATGTCCCCCAGATGAAAATGGAGAAAAGGCCAACGTGTAAAATACTTTTCAAAAGGTACCGTAAAACTGGATTTTTACCATTTGGGACCGCCTGGTACCTCGGGAGGTGCAGTTGGGAAATTTCACGATCTACATAAGTGTGCATTGAGGGAAATTTTTTGGGCCCAAAAATAGGTTTCCCTAATTTTATTTAAGGTTTTACGATCAGAAATGTCGGCCATGGAGGTCTGAGCAATTTTAAAACATCTCTCTGCATTGACTTTGGGAAAAAACTAAAATGGAAAAGTTATCCCTGAATTTAATTTGAATATGACTTGACAAGTTACCTTTTTTATATTCAAAATTTTTATAAAAAATTTTTCCTTTGGGTAAATTGATTTTGTTTAGCGGTTATGAAAAATTCTGAAGAGAAGGGCAATTACGTTTAAAAAGACAAAGGAGCCTTGATTTACTAAAGGCTTAAAGTCAGGGAAAATAAAGGTGGCAGTATGAGAACCTGGGCTTTGGTCTGAGCCCCAGTCAAGACATTTATGATACGGAGGTGATATTTCACTTTCATTAACAAGTGAACCGGTGACCTTAACCCCGCTTTCGAGAGACATCCGGTTTTTAAACCCCCATATCCACAGACATTTGTCTATCTGAACTTTCGGAGGGTTCTCGGGTCTACAGGAAAAGGGTCTGAAAAGCTTTTTGTCCCCTTTTGGGGATGAAAAGGTCAACTCAGAAGGGAAGAATGGCACCTTTTCATTACCTATTAGTATGGACAAGAAGTGTGGGGCTAGTACGGCTTCAGCCAACCTGTGAACCATTTTGACCTATGTAAAAAACGGATGGGAGGAAAAGTGTCCTACGGCCCAAGTAGCTGAAAGATAGAGAGGAATGGTTTCTTTAAGATTAGGGAAAGCTTTCAGAAATGACTAACTTTTGACCAGTTCTCGTAAAATGGGGAGATTCATTAAGTCCATTAACGTTCCCCGAACGAAGGGTGCTTGGGCATTACAGTCTTTAAAACATCTTCCAACTTTTTGGACCTTTTAGAAGGACAATCGGATTTATGTCCTTAAAAAACCCCCACACATACAAAAAGGGAAAAAAAGAAGTATTTTTCTTTCACTAGGGTTTTTTATTTCTTAAGGTCTGATGAACCCTTGCCCTTAGGGTTTGATCCCTTTTGGTCTTTATAGGAATTGTGGCCCCGCATACGGTCAGCAGCCTCGCAAATTCCTTAGCTTTAATAGGGTTTCGTTCTCTGATGAAGTTCGTATCTGGGGAGGAAGAGCTGCAGGAACTGGGCAGCAAACCTGAAGTCTCTAAAGGGTTCATAAATGTGATCAATTCCCCGAACTCTCTATCCAAAAAACGAAAAAACGAAAGGTGTTTCTTGTAACTGTGAAAATTTTGGCCCCGGCTGTAAAGGTGGCATCCCGAAACTTTCCCGTAAGAATTTGTGGTTTTTTGATATCTTTAAGGATTGTTCTTCAGTGGGTTTTAATTACTATATATCCTGCAACAAAAATTGCTAGATGTTTTAAAGCGTACCAGAAAATAAAAATTTCCCAACCTGGTAGCCCCGGTTCAGCAGGCCATTCACAGAGGGGTAGCGTATTTTCGAACCCGTAATGTATGAAATAATGTCTTTTCCCCTTTTGAAGGGGGGGAAATTAGGTGTTGGAAATTCACTGCTGCATTTTTAATTACTCCTTTCCCTAATTGTTGTTGTGTAAGAGTTTAAATTTTTATTTTTAATTTTTGGCGAGCTTTTTCGGCTCCGATCCTTTTCCCTTTTCTATTAATCGGTTTTCTAGCTTTTTCCTCCGTTTTCTACTTTTTCCTCACGTTTCTAGCTTTTTTCCCCCAACTTCTTTAATTTAACTTTTTTTTCCGTACTTAGCTCTTCCTCACTCAAGTCTATCAGCTCCTTTTTTTTTTCTCTCTCTCTTTCAGTGCTTTCTTGGATTTTTTCTCTCAAATTCTTCTTCTCCCTTTTTCTTTCTTTTCGATTCTTCCCCTCTCCTTTTCTTCTTCTCTTTCCCTTTTAACTGTCTTTTTTTTTCTCAATTCTCTCTCTTTCAAGTCTTTCCCGGGAAATTGCACTAATGAAAAATTCTAAATTTTTCCCTGTTATCCAACTACTTCCCCAAAAATCCGACTGGTATCCCCCATTTTGCAAGAATAAATTAAACTATAGGGGAAAAAAACGGGATTAAAGAAAAATTTTGGGGGTTTAATTCCCGCTCCGCTCAAACTGTAAATAAACCAGAGGGCTCGATCCCTGCTTCAATTTAAACAATATTATTAATAAAAATGAAGGGTTCTATGCCCGGCTCCGGCAAACATAATAGAATGGGGTCACTTGACACCAAACTTCTCACCAACAAAACAAAAGGGGTCCTACGTCAGTTCCCTTGATAAAATAAAGAGCCAATGAAACAAAATTTTCACTGGAAAATCTCGGGGCCCCAGAGTTAATCCCCCAAAGTGTTTCAAGCTCGAAAAAAGTGGGAGAATTAAATATTATATCCCGCCTGATTGACTTCAATAAATTGAGATAAACACCAATTTTTAAATACCCGACTGTAGTCCCCATAGAGAAAAGATACCCACGGTGGGGAAACCGTCGTGGTATGCGGTGTTGAAGTTCCAATTTTAGATTCGAGTGGATTTAATCTTGATTTAGTTGATTGATCCTGGAAAAGGACCCTTGTGAAGGCTTATCGCCCTGTAACAAATTCAGACGTATTACCAAGGTGGTCCTCCTCAGGGAAAAATTTAAAGAACAAAAAAGACAAAAAAATGAAAGCATAAACCTTTATTATTTAGAAAATATAAAAATTAAAAAACTTAAATAGAAAATTAATCCTACCCTTTAAAAAAAATGAAAAAAGAAAAATATAAAAGTATTAAAATTTAATGCTAATATAATATATATATATATATATATATATTATATTAAAAATATTATTATATATTAATATATTAAAACTTGGATGTCCGGTGTTGGGGCACTGCGTGTTTTTTGAAATCGTACCGTTGCCCATGTGGGGGGGGGGGGGCGCAGGTTTGATGACAACCCACCGACTCGTTTTTCACGTTTTCTAGCCGTCAAAATCCTCCGAGGAGGAAAGCAGGTTTTTTTCCACTGCAAAGATGAGGGGGTTTTAACCTGCACTTGCATACACAAACAGGTAAGTGGACAAAATTTGGGACGTCTCAGAAGTTACCCCTCTCCTTCAATTTCTACTGTTGATTAGCGGTGACCCTCCTGTCCTTTCAAGAGTAGTGTTGGGAGATGTGAGTCAGTGATTTACTGTTTGACCGGGCCCCCCACGTCACCTTTTTGGGGGGGGGGGGGGAAGAGGGAGGGGAAGGGGAAACTGGAGAGAGACCCTACCTTTAAAAAGCAGCCCGGGAATCAAAAATTTCACTTTCGGGAGGGGAAAAAAAAGGGGGATAATTTGCGGGAGCTGGTTACCCAACTTAAAAAGTAGCCCGGGAATGAAACTATTGTTACTATATACTCCCCGTTCCCATTTTTGAACTTTTCCCTCACAATTTTTAATTTGGCTGTAATTAGTGGGGTTTTTT